TGTGTGTGTGTGTGTGTGTACATATACCTTTTTTTCCTCTCTAATTCTTTTTTTTTCCCCTACTGGCTGACACACCAAAACGGTTTTACTTAACCTTTCCTGTCAGAGAGAAAGACGTTAGTGCCCCCCGGCCTGAGCTGAGGAGAGCAGGGCAGAGCCCGGAGGCAGGAAATAAGGGTGTTCAGGGCAAAAAGTGCTCGGGTTTGGGGGGATGCAGGAGGGGAGGGGGCTGCTTCGCCCCGGCGCTGTGCTCGTAGGTCACGGGTGAGAGGCAGCGGGAGGTGAAGCGGCAAGTGGAGAGGCACGGATGCTGGTGAAACGGGGGAGAAATAACTATGAATGTTCCTGTTATCTCCTTGGGAAGATGCGGAGAGCGTGGGTGCAGGGAGTTGGAAAGGTGGTTTGCACGGCGAAGCGTGAGCAGACGGCGCTGACGGAGACGAGGTGCCCTGCAGGGACGGGGTGGAGGCCCGGGGAGCCTGGCGCCGAGGATTCGCGGGAGAGACATGTCCGTGGCGCGTGACACAGGGCGTTTTGCACTTCACAGGGGACAGTTTTGCAGTCAGTCGCCTGCAGTGGGTCCTCCAAAGCACAGAGATGCGTGGGAGCTTGCAGTCAGGGCGTTTGCACAGGGCTGAATCGCTCCCGTTGGGACATGGCCGGCCAGGAGCGTGGCGCAACTCGCTCCGAGGACGCCGGGCGGCTGCTCGCGGCGTCGGCCCAGTCTCGAAGGCCACCTTGGAGCAGGCGGCGCGGAGCTGCTCCCATGTGCCCTGACTGTCCTTCAGCACAGCCGGCGCTGGGAATACGGCCTGGAAGTACTAAGCTGAGCTTCACAAGGAGCTTATCTGGGAGAGTTTATAAGTTCAGGCTGTGAGAAAGTGAGATGGCCCTGGAGGCAGTTTAGCCACGTTTGAGGTGACGAGCCCAGGCGGCTCGAAGCTGATGGCTGCAAAAAATCCCATACCAAAGCAAAAACTTAGCAACAGAAACACAATTGCAATTTTTCTACAGTCTCCAGTATAGAGCTTCTATTGGGGGAACCTGTGTAAAAGGTGTACAGAGATGGAAGAAAGCATATTTGGGAACCACAAGTGGGCATGAGGGAGAGACATAAAAGGGAGAAGAGACAACACGATTCTCTTAGAAGTGTTTTAAATAATATAACATGGATAAGATTTAAAAGAGAAAAATACTGAAATTCTTAACTTTTTGTATGTTTTTGTCCTTTCTTTTTCTATTTATATCTCATATTTATAATCTTGTTATCTTAGTGACTTTTCAGAAGGGGAGTTTTGCATTGGTGGCTTGCAGAGTTTTTAGAAAAGATGAAGGCACAAACCTGAAATGCAGCATTATTTTCTGCACAAAATCCGGATTTTAGTGGCTGAGCAATGTAAATCAATTGAATTTAGTAATTCCACATGCAATTGTGTAAGCCTACAACATACAGTAATCCGTTGATTTACAGTCATGGACTCCATTGACACCAGACGTTTCGCCTGATGAAATATTTTTGTAATCTAAGGCCTGTAATGCTGGGCGAACATTTGTAGTACCGACATACCTATTTAAATAGCAGAACAAAAGAGAGGGGTTGAGCTAAGTGGTTCGGATAAGTAGTATGAGGTAATAGTAAATGCTGAAGACTGTAGGATGTGCGAGAGCTGACTTATCCTTCATTGTTTATAGCGAGATCTTAGTATCTTCTTAAATGCATAGATGCTTACAAAGAAAGCGTAATATTTTTCTGGCCCTTACACAGGCTCCATGAAATCACATTTCTGTTCGTGCCTTTCTTCACTGATTTGTTTGTTAGTTTGGGGGGTATGTCGCTGCCAGAGAACTGTGTGCTAGTCTCCCTCTCTTCCCCTCCACCCTCCTCTCTTTTTTTCCCCACTTTTATAAATAATATTTTTGTGTGTAATTGAGATAAAAGATAAGAAACACTGTACAGATTGACCCTGCAGGTGATTTTATAGTACTGTGATCTACCCATATATAGAAATGTGAAATGCATACCTTATAGGTGGAATGAAGATACAGCTAAAATGACGGAGATAATTTAACCTTTAAGAGGGAAAGTTAGCTCCTAAAGATTGTTGCGCGACTTACTAAATAAAATACAGATATTGTATTTGTTTAAATTATTTTTTTTTAATTTTAAGTGGATGAATTTATTGATTTCAAATTGCTGATATTTAACTTGCATCTGTAAACTTAGTGACACAAGCAGAGCCATTACAAATGAGGCTTAAATCAACTGTAAAACATACCTTTCATTATATAGGTAAACTGTGGATATAGCAGTCCAGATAGCTAAATATGATTAATGACAATACCTGTTAAAGGCTCATCACTCTCACCTTTTTATATAATGTGTTAATATATTATAAG